ACCGAGAGCAATTATTGGCAAGACGGAGAGACAGGTTTTTCAAATCCGATCCGAGTTTGGCCACCTGATTTTTCTATTAACACGACTTTGTACATCTTTACGTTTTTTTTGCATTAGCAAATAAATTTCACACTTTGCAGTACAAAAAGAATAAATTTTCGATAGCGATGAAAAACGACGTGGACAAAATTTAACATCAATTTCTTTTCCTTCTCTTATTTATCTCACATTTTTAAATATCAAAATTTTCTTCTCTAAACTTCCTCGAGGTCATATCTGCAGCTAATAGTTTCGATTGCGAAATATCTATTCTTCTTTTACTAGTCGATGGAAAAAGAAATGCACGAACGTTGAGAAGAGTTTAAATAACAAGAGGAACGTGATCGCGGGAACGACTACAAAATCGCCGGTGCACGATGCGGTGCGCTATTAGGGCGAGACAGTTATTCCCGTGGACAAAAATGGCTGTAAAGCGGCAAACGATAACGTGAAAATATTAATGACCGCCGAGTGAACGACCGTAATGAGCGTAATAATGTCCGGATGCAGCTCCGCCGACTGCGTCGCGCACGGTCAGCGAAACTTTCGAACCATTCGCAATGTAAAATACGATGCATTAAGCTAAAGTAATGCCATTAACGTTTTCAAAACGAATCACGCGATTTTATACGTCACTAAAGTCTAATATCTGGGAAAAAATTTGAACGATTAGCGCGGATTCGATTATTTAATGTATCTTTATGTGCACTTTATTATGCACAAAAAAAAAGAAGAAACACCTACACCGTACTTTTCTTCTTCGCTGCTTATGCGGCATTTTCAACAATTATACATTACTTTGTGTAAAAATTAATTAAACTACAAATTTTCGAGTAACAATGTACAGCTTCAGAGTCCACGCCGAGCTGCGAATTAACTGATTAAATAAATGTTAACTTCTTGCAGATATTATTTCAAACAGCAGCGGCAGGAGTAACGTGCGCATCTCGCAAAAAGATACGATCGGTATCGAAGACCGGGCACAATGTAATTAAACATCTGCATACAAGTCTCTGACGCGATTAACTACACCCCTTTTAACTGCGTTTTTTCCGCCCTTTTTTTTGCATAAGAATCCGCATGCATCGACGGTGCAAATTTTTCCGACGTTGTAATGTGTAATAACGACGATGCGAAAGAATACAAGCGAACACGCGAGAGTCGCCAGCTCTCTCCCTCCCTCCCTCCTCCCTTCCCCCCCTCCCCCTCCTCTCTCTCTCTCTCTGGTGTCCGATGCAAAAAAGCTACGCTCGCCAAGTTTTCTTAAGCGAGGGCGCGAGCACACGGCAAACTTGCCGCAAAAAAGCGAGGGCTTTTTCGCCGTGCATCAGCGCCAGCGCCGGCATTGATAGAGCCCCTTTTTATATCCCCTGTAAAATGTTGTATAATGTCACCTATCAGACCGCCGTGCAGTAATAACGCGCGTACGATTACGATGGCTCGCCTCAGCCGCCGTCATTGATACCTTCAAAGTGTCTCTTTGTGCCGAATAATGAAATTAAAGTGATTTATAATGATCTCGCTCAAAGAGAGAGAGAGAGAGAGAGAGAGAGAGAGACGCGCAGGAAAAAGAGAGAAAGAGACAGAGCGAAAGAGATCTTCTCGTAACGAGCGCCTCTTTCTGTTGCAATTTCGCCTTTCGCAGAAACAT